CAATTTGTCGCCGATCACTGTGAACAATGCTTCCAGAACTTCGCGAATCGCATTCGTTGCAACGGATACAAATAATCCATGTTGGTGAAACGCTTTAATTCGGAACAGCTTGGCTGTATTATCACCGGTCACAATACCGCTGACAGTAAGGGGTTGAACTGACCTGCTCGGACACCACATTACCGGTATTACCGACCGTGTCTTTTGGGAAACCGAAAATTGAAGCTCATTCTATGGACTGCCAACACCTACAGGAACAGTCAGGATGGCTATATATATGCGTCGCAGAATGCACCGAGCGCATAACCCGTTGGCATGTTTGACACGTACAAACATATGCGCTTACCCACCGATACATATTGAGCTACCAATCCATCGCGCTTGCCAAGCAGTAAGTATTTTCTTTTCCGAGTGGCCACACAGAAAAATATCCTGTCCCTCGTACAGTATTGTGTACATGAGATTCGGATCATCAGGCACCACTACTCAACTCATGTGGGCATTGCTGTCATACAGCAGGCCTTGGGATATGGCATAGTGGAGAAGTCGTGCAACCGCGCGATTCAATAAGAATTTTAACACTTGCTTGCTATCAGAGCTCTCAGTAGTTGCGTTTGACCCGTAAGCTGTAAGTAAAGTCAAATCAGTTAAGGACATCGCAATCGTGACATGCGATAATTTAGGGTGAGGCTAGCAAAAGCGCACCCATCACCACATTGACCCGACTTGGTCTACCTTGCCTCAAAGGCATATTCGACACAGAACGATAATTATTGTATCATTCTATGCGCGAGTAGTGGTGAGGATGTCACTATATGCAACGACGCTTGATCTGTGTAGATCACAAACGGCTCAAAGCCAGATAAGTGCACTCTGAATTTGACGAGGATATACTTCAATGCATGTAGCTCCTGTATTTGATAGGATAGTATTTCTCTGCCGCTTTAAGCAGGCAAAACTCAACGTGATCGCGCGCCAATGTTGGTTGGCATGTGCTTGAGGTAAGCACAAATCGCAGTCTACTGCAAAAGATAAAGCATCACACACGAAGTGAGATGGTAGATCTCGATTAAGAAGAAGTATTATCGAGACACGCATAAGGCTTTTCTTCACCGCTGCATCACAATATAATTTGACATCCTATATAACGGGGGTCGTGCAATGTGAGTATTGTTGCATCAAACTTGTGCCAGTAGTTGGGTTGGCCAAGCCAATAGTTCAGACCGCTTTATGAAAAAGACGCTGACCAATCTACAACGGCGTTTACCCTTGCGAGTACCCTCCGCAGACCATGCTTTCTAATTAAGGCAACTCAGATATGGGACTGCCGTCGGCACCAAGAACACGCTTGTTTCTATCAGCATATACCCAATTGAAGCACAGAAACCCAAGCATCGCTTATAATATTTTGATGTTGTTCTTCGTATCCAACTTCCCGTGCTCTGCACGAATCGGACAAATCATCTCAAAAGTGGCTTATGCATACACAAACATCTTCGCGGCTAAAAAATTGAGCGTCGCTCACGCGTGAAGTCGTCCCTGAGGCATAAATCCAGTTTGATTGGACTACTCATCGCCGAGAGCAATATTGTGTTTTGATGAGTAGTTGGTGATATCCATAAGATGGGTTAAGGTTACAAAACAAGATACGACCGACCACGCTATTCCGCGGAACATCTATTCTTAATATCGGCGTTCATCCAAGAATAGTAAATGAATTTACCTTATTATAATCATGCACAATTCTGAGACAGAAATTTGACGCCGATTTGGGGATTTGCTTCGTCCATAATCCATTTTCTACATGAATGAAAGGTGTCACAATGTTCCCGTGGTAGAACTATTGCCATATGAAGTAAAGTTTGGTTCCAGAAATCAACTCGATATCATTACGTACCACTTAATTACGGGCAATATGCGTGGTGTGTCTATTGTCGCCACGTCGTGATATTCCCCGATCAAAAAATAATTTTGGAAGGTAGCTTTAACTTCAATCTCTGCGAGGGCAACCACAAGTTCAACCATGATCGATGACGAGCATGTATCCTCCTGCAAATAAGCCGTAACATTTTGATGGCCTCATCATCGTGCAATTCCTTGAACAAATGTAGTGAATAAATACTAAAGCTACGATAAGACTTTGTTCTGATGTTAAAGAAAGGAGGCCACAGCCTCTAAGACAATCTCGGTAACTTCACTTACAAGTAAAAATCCGTGTCACTTACACGTGAAGCTGCACTGCACCACACAGCGGATTTGTTAAAAAGCAGGAATACCGTCACATCGTGACAGAAATGAATTATCCTTTTAATTTTCCGGGTATGATCCTTCCACAGGTGACTCTCGATTGCCCTTCAATTTCACCGTCTGTGGTATGAGAGACTTCGACAACCAGTTACTTCCACTCTCTGTCGGTCCTAGCATAAGAGACAACAGCTCACAGCTATGTTTACCGTTTCAATCGAGATACACTCAAGAGACCTCTTTGTCTCCTGTCTAAGCAGATATACATGCGATATTGAATAGCTCTATTTCGTATCATCCCGAAACTTCACTTCAGTGCTGCTTCTGGCTTCTGAGCTCTGCTCGCACACCAAGCAATATCGTCGCTAACAATTAGAACTCATATCATGTCCTACACGGAAGGTATTGCGGCTACATGCCGCGCCGAATGCACTTTTTGCTTTTTGGCAGAGGCACATTCAAAATCCTCCAAAACTCCACCGAGATAGAATCACAAGACGTTTAGCTTCTTCGACTTTCCACTAGTCCATGTATCATTATGTTTTAGTCGTGCTATATCTTGAAAAGGTCCTACCTACCTCGAATTTAGGTCAAGTGCAGGACAATTCTCCAAGCTGTCATCCTCAATTGTACCTTGAAGATTCAACATCACCGTCAAGACTTACACTAGTGTCCCCATCGCAAGGTGCTTTCATGTCGTATCGTGTCATAGATTGCTTTTGACAGTCGGTCGTTGTAAGTTATTTGCAGACGTTCACGAGTCAATTGAAACTTTCCGTATCATATAAAGGGCTGAGACATTGAGATAACATCTTGTAGGCCTGGACTTTGAGCTAAATATCTTCGACAGAGTGAATTTAGAGCTGAGCCTCTTAGGCACAATCTTCATTTAGGAAAAATATATTGCAATCTGAATGTTGACCTGCGCCTACATTACTTGCGAAATATTTGCGTGAAGACTCTGCGTGGAAGTTCGACTATTCAGATCAGACAAATAGGAAGGCAAGACTACAATATCTCGCTTCCCTAGCAATAAAATCTGCGAGTACCTTGGAGCTGTTGAGCAGCCAGAACCTCTTTCATTCGCACCGCCCATCGTCTCTTGGGTGCTCTTAGATCCTCATCCTCTGGTTCTGCCACTGGACCATGCTGCATTGCTCATATAACACGACACTCACCGCTTTCTCAAAGGCAGTAGAATAATAGCGAAAGATTCGAGTACGCACCGTAGTTATCTGTAGATCTTTCATCAAAATAGTAACTCTTGCCACCTCTGGAGTAGAGAACAGCATTAAATTATTCCAGCCTCTTTATATCGCTCATCTCTTAGCGGAAGACAAATGATTAAAACGACCGATACGCCTGACTAAGTCGTGCAACATATGTCGCCTGGTTCTTTGCCTAAAAAACCAGGCGACATATGTTGC